TGGCATGTCCATGTTCAGAACAGCAGCCTTAGGAAACGAGGCTTGAATTTTGGTGAGATATTTTCTGCACGTGCCTCCTGGCAGGATGCAGTGAATACACTGTCTGAGCTTCAACCATCATCATATTACTCTCTAGCCCTTTGGATTTGGTGTCCTGTGGCAGTAATGGAGGCTGCAAGGAACCCTTCATACCATTATGACTTCTATGTAGAGACAGTGAATCCCAGCAGATTAGCTGGCTGTTCTGTCAGCCCCAGGATTAAGCTCAAATTCTCCACTGTTGTAAGGCAAGTAACATTTCTCATCTGACCCTAAGCCTGAGGGACATGCTCAAACCTGTCAGGAATTAGGGTCCTAAATCCCTTTGACTCCTTGCATGGTGCCAGCCTTCATTCTCAAAGCAAAACCCTTCCATGTTAGGAAAAGTATATTTCAGCTGAACCACCAGGGCTTCATCCACACAAGTGTGGATATTTACTTCCCTGGGGACAAAAAGCAGTGGCACACCTTGTGCCGCTGCTACTTGTTCTTGGTGACCACTTGCGCCACATGTCCTCTGGTGCATGGCAGGTTATCCTGGGTGGGGTAGGGGATGGGCTGGCCCCAGCAGCAGCCTTACTTGGGGTCCTGGGGACCTTCTGGAGCTGCAGCAGAGGTGACCTTGTCACTCAGAGCCTGGCCGGCAGCCCGAGCTTGGCTCCAGCCAGCCAGGCTCCAGTTTTGAGCAGTGAGCACTGACCCCACATATGCCGCTCTGTTTTTTGGGGGGGTGGGGTTTGCGCAGGTTTCTTTGGCCCCGGGACTTTGACCAACCCCCCCTTCCCCTGGTGCTGCTACTCTGCAGTGCAGAGAACAGCTGAATGTGTGTTAAGTCTGCAGCCCCACATACCGCATGGCCACGTTCGTCTGGACCTGACCCATGAGGGACAGGTAGGATGGAGGTACTAATGCCAAGAATGAAGGAGGAGTTGTGCCTCCCCATCCTGCTCCCTTGCTATGAGTTGGGCACATCCAACACATGGAAATACATGAGATTCCATTCCTACACATGGTTCATGATTTCCTTGCCTTTTGGCTTACTGCAGCAGTATGTCAGATAGCAATGCCAATCACAGTACCTGGTCATGAACACTCTAGCCCTCCACTCCTCAGAAACATCTGGTAGAACATTCTCATATACCTGGCAGAACTTCTCTCAGGCTTGTTCTTTTGGGAAGAGGTGAGAGACAACTTCTTTTGTCATCTTAGTCTCTGTTTATTAAAGGTATCCTACTCCTAGCCATACAACATATACAGCAAGCAAAGTGAGAGGGCAAACTTCCCCTGGGCTACTTCCCCACCACTTCTAACCCAGTATGTCTCTAAGACAGACCAGGTTTCCCTCCACTGGCTAAAAGCATTAAGAAGCAACTTGCCCTGCCACATGAGGATTTAAACATATTAGTTAAATAAACTCCTATGTAAAGGCCTAAGCATGTAAATCCCCCAAAAAGGCCTACATGGGACTTCAGTGACACACTGGACTGCAGTAGGCCCTTACGGAAGAGCAGTTCACCTTTTCATTATCAATATTCAATGTCCATTGGTCATTCAAGCTTGGAATTCCCTGCTGAGACTGCCAGTTCATACCAGTTGTGGTGATGGTGATGGACAGGACTGAAACCACCAAGTAGGATAAGAAGAGCAGTCTTTGTTCCTTAAAAGTTCATGTGCTCCTGATGCCACTATGTCTATTTGTTCCACAACTGCAAGTTGCTGGGGAAATAAGTGGTTGCAATGTGACAAAGGATTTTTGACTTCAGGTGTTGAATAAGCTGCAGAAGCAGATGAACTCTTAAGAAAGAGAGAACTTATTTTCATGCAAATGTCCCTGGTAATAAAATACAATCTAAGGGAACAAAAACCCAGAAACTACACAATCTAATTGATTGTCCCTAAATAGAATGCTTCTCAAAGTTCTCCAGAGGTTGTCATCTGTTCTGTAAGGGGGAGAGTGAACATATTAAGTAGGTCAAACAAGAACAAACAAAGGAGATATGAAAAAGAGAGGGTTTAAAATGAAAGATGAGCACTGATTAACTAGCGAGGAAGGAAGAGGAGTTAGTCAGTGCTGTTAACGGGCTTGCTGATATTCTGTAGGACACAGCAGCTGCTGGTCAGCTACAAAGCCCTATGTATTAAATTGCTTAGAAGAGGCCATAATGAGAAAAGGCTAAAATGAGACTGTCCTCAGCTGGTTGATGTAATGCCATAATCCTTTCCTGTTGGGATGGATGGGGTGTGCTCTGCAGTGCCACAAAGAACACCAGGACAGAACAGATGGGAGATTCAAGGCACTCACTATTTGCCTGTTTTCAGTGTACAGAGCTTCCATGAACAGGGAGTGTTTTTGAAGGATGCCTTATGTATCGCAGTGTGTTTGCTGAACTCGGGCATGATGGTTTTGCATTGTCAGGATGCCCTTGGAAGTGTTAAGACAGCTTGTTTACTGCTTTCTATTTTCCGAATGTCAGATTTATGCCTGGCTTGGGTCCCCTGGTTAAAAGCACACAGCACTGGTTCCGATTTGCTGACTGCCTGAATTTCCCTCTCATGAGGTGGGAAGGCTCTTCTGTTGACCCTACCTATTAAGATCCTAAATAAAACTGGCTGAGTCCTGTCCTGGTGACTCACTGTGGCAGGGAAGGTTCCTTAGTGATATCTTTTCAACAATACCAGTAAAGTCAAAGCTGGGGCCAGTGTTCAACTGGCTCAGGATCTGTGCACTCCTTTGCAGAAATGGGTGTTCATCCCAGTTACCTACCTTATGTGCTCAGGAGAGTAAGCAGAAGACACCGTGAACAATTTGCAGAAGTGGTGGTTGGTTTTTGCATGCCTTCCCTGCATCAGGCAGACATGCAAAGAGAGTCATATAGAGACATACACTATTGTTGCTTGCCACTGGGTGCATCTACAAGAGACACTTAATGCGCAGCAGCCTAATAACACTGTGCAGTAGTATGTCAGGCAAAAACCGTGCTAATACGCTACTGCACAGTAGTATTAGGCTACTGCGCAGTAAGTGTCACTAAAAAACCATGCACCAGCTCTACTACAGTTACTGTGCATTTAGTTAGTACTTCATTAAGGAAGTACTAAACTAAATGCACAGTAACTACTGTGCATTAAATGAATGTGTAGACATGCCCACTGAGTTCTGTAGGGCTACTTCTGACTTACCTTAGGGAAAGTCAGCAGAGGGTCAGGCTCAGTTTCTCTGATGCTTTTCCAGGGCCCTGAGCAGTGGCAAGAAATTCCTACATGTTATGGGCATTGCCTCTGCAAGAGAATGCTAAAGCGCCAGCCCTGAGGTTAGCTGTTAGACCTCATGGCTTGCATCTGGGCAGTAGGGCTGCGTGAAGCTTTGGTCCCCAATTTGATTTAGCAGAGATTTGGCCTGATTCAGAGATTCGGCCACTGAATCAAATCAGGAGACCCTTTAATTTCTCCGAATCGAATCAGAACCCCCCGAATTGATTTGGAAAGATTTGGGGATTCAGACATAGACACAGCTTTAAACGTTTTTTTCTACATACCTCAAGGTAGCTCATGAATGCTGCGATACTGGGGTGGATGGAGCGTCCCACAGGAGTGCGGGAGGGTTCCTAGAGCACTCAGCAGCAGACCCAGAAGTGGACCAGAAGCACTTTCTGTCCACTTCTGGGTCCACCAGGGAGCATGCGGGGGGGGGGAGGCCCGCCCACCCCTGGCTTGGCAACAAGTGCCTCCTGGGTTGGGGGGGGGCACCCAGGGTCCCCCCGCAGCTGATCACCGAGCCTAGGAGTGCTGGGGGTCCCCCGTGTGCTCCCCAGAGGACCCGGAAGTGGATTGGAAGTACTTCCAGTCTACTTCAGGGTTAGCTGCTGAGCGCATGGGGGACCCCCCCACACTCCTGTGGACGATCTGTGTGCCCCAGCATTGCAGCATTTATGAACCATGCCTGCTACCTCGAGGTATGAACAAAAAACATTTAAAGCTGTGTCTATGGCCAAATCACTGATACTCTGAATCAGCATTGAATCTTTAGATTCAGATTTGGCTGAATCAAATCGGGGACAGTGATCCGAATCAAATCACTGTTCCCGATTTGGACCAAATCCGAATCCGAATTGAATATGGCCTGTTTCGCACACTCCTACTGGGCAGCACTCTCTATCTTTGTACAGGTGTAGCTTGGTTCCAGACTGCCAATGTCAATTCTTCAAACCCCGTCAAAAGTCACATAGCAATGACATACTGTCATGTACCTTTCAGGCCTGTGTTCTATCTGCAAGAGAAAGCTAAATCAGCTAATTTCCTACAGCAGAGTTTTCTAATCACAGATGGGCGAGTGTCCCTTTCCTTCAGTAGATGTCACCTTCTCAAGGCTGCTCCTTTTCAGCCAGAAGCTCAGGTTGCTGACAGGGAATTGAGGCTGTGGTCTTACACTAGATAACATCTGAGGCAAAGAGGAACATTAGGGACGCAGAGGAGGTTCCACTCTTTGGGGGAGGTTTGTTCAAGGCTGAGATATGCATCTTTCTCATGGGAGTCCAATCAAAGAGGAAGCAGGTATGAACAATCTATAGTGTTAGTTGGAGCTAATAAAACAACATTGTAATCAATCAGCACAACTTGCCTTCCAGCAGACTGCAGCCTCATGCATTCAGATGCTGAGGAGCACTTCCTTTGTCTCAAACTAGGTCAGCAGAGGCATGAAGTTGCTATAGCAATTTTTTTATTATACTTCAGAACTTTATTTTAGTAGCTGGTGATTTACATAGCTCCACAGCTAGATGAAGGGAAGATCATAATTGAGGCACACTTTTCAGCTCCATTTTTATGTGGCTTCCCCTACAACTCCTGTACTGCTTTCCTCTATACCACAAGAGCAAACCAGGTGGGGTTGCAAGTATTCTCCCTCTCCTCTCCTTCTGTTTCTGAAGGAATAGTTCAAAACTCAGACCTGAACCATACTGTACCTCTCACGTCTTGCTGAACTTCAGGGACAGACTGGACTCAGTATCCAGACCCTTGTGTGTCGTTCTGGGCTCCAGAGCTGTCTGTCATGAAGGGCTGTCATTTAAAGAGAAAAAGGGAAATGCTAGGTTTAAAAGGAGGTAGTGGCATTTGCTCTCGAGACATTCTGGGCCCAGCCCCTGTGTTGAAGGCAGTCAGTGGAGCTCTATTGACTTCAGTGGAGCTACTCTGATTTACACTGAACTGAAAATCTGTCCCTCTTCATTTACAGCCCAATCAAAGTCCCTTGGGAAAGCTATGAAGCCGACCTGTGAGAAGATGAAGGATCAATACCTGGTGCCTCATGAACCCAGGGTCACTCTCCATTCCACGCCCCCTGCACTTGTCAGGGGAAGGACTATGTACTGACTGCTTGGAAAAGAGAGGAGGGAGAATTTATCTGAGAAAGGGAAGGCTTCATTCTCAGGGCTCCTCAGGTTAGACTGGACCCTAAGCTGGGAGAGATTTCCTTGTCCTTTTTCTAAACATTTTAATCCCTGTTATGAAAACAGTCCCATGAGGAAAACCCCTTGCTAATGGCACTTTTATTTCTATTTCTGATGAGTCATTCCAGCAGCTCCGAGCAGCCATCTGCCCATGCTTGTCACCTGTTCTCTGGTGGGGCTCCTTTTCACTGATTCCTGGGGAAAAATAGGAGGGGAACTGGGTTCTTTGTTTCTGGAAGGATTTTGTGCCTCATGTTCTAGTTCAAGACTCAGGAGATCTAAACTCACTTCCTGGCTTTACCATAGATATTGTGTGACCTTGGCAAGTCACTTTGCCTCTGTTTCCCCTTGCAACTTTATTATTATTCCCCTTGTCTGTTCAGACTGCAGGGACTGTGTCTTATTAATTGTATATCTAGCACCTTACACAACTGAGATGTAATCTGGGTTGAGGTCACTAGGTGCTATTCTAATACCATCTAATTTTGTGATTTTTTCTTCAGTACAATTCACTGTCATCTCCACAGCAACTGACTGAAAAAAATGCCCTTACATGAACAATACACAAATAAATTGTGAAAACAATGCCAGTGCAATATAGATTATCCAGTGCTCTTCCACTAAGAATGAGACAGTCAACATACAACTGCAGTGTACTGAGTGAGGACTGAGTGCTATTGCCCTGTGATTTTATTACCATTGCTTCCAATTTTGTCACACTGATGGAGCTGAGAAGCTTCGAGACCTGGAACACGACTTCCCAACGGTCATTATTTTTTTTAGGTAGATGAAGGTTGTTTCAACAGATAAGAGGCCTGGTGGAAAGCTACAATTGGATTATCAACTTCATCAAAATTGGAGATGGTTTGGATCTTGGGTTCTGATTTGGATTAATTTATGTTAGAGAAGAAGAAAAACAAACAATGGCACTTTGTTGTCAGAAATGACAAATTCAGACATGAGACTTTGCTACTGGATATTGGAGCAGCATCCCATGGCATCACCTTCCAAGCACATAGAGATAATCTGGGTCTTTGCTCATGGAACATGGAACCAACTCATTTTGTTTGATTATCTTGTCACCATACAACAAGGGATGTTTTCTTCTGGGGATAACTAGATTGTTGCTCCTTTACAATCATCGCTGAAATGGAGTGAAATCTGTTAATAAACTGCTCAGATAGGCAGCATACAGACAAGATTCCTTCCAAATAAGCCCAACATCCCCTAAAATCCTTTTCCAGTGAGTGGAAGGCCTAAAGCTTAGACATTATAGCAGATGGGGCTACTTGGAGTTGGGGGAGAGGGGATTCAGATATGATGATGATGAGTGCTGGTACAAAATCCTAGAACAGAGAGAACAGAAGATTGCCCAACTAACCCACTGATGTTCTTTCCTTATCCCATTCAGGACATTATATTCTCACTTGTGGGCTCTGTGCAGACCCAACTTAGCAGCAGAAATGACAAAAGTTACAGGGTTTGGGAAGCTGAGGTGCAAAGTCCAGTCACCGCCCTATAGGCAAGGCAACTACATCGACTTCTCAAGATCAGTTGAGCCTCTCTACCAACTTACATTTACATCACAGAACTCCTTCATGTTGGGGAAAGATACTGGATTTAGAGGCCCTGAGATCAATGTCCTCTCACCACAATCATGGAAAGCAAACATACCGCCCCACCAAGTATGCCTCCTGTTTGTATTGGAGTGATGGCTTCTTGGAGACAAGGGAATGTTCTGTCTTCAGGCTCATTCGTTGCTTGCTTTCTCTACTGAGACTGCCAACATGCATAACAGTTACTGTTAATGGCCAAAATATGCTCCTACACTAACAATAACAACATGCAGAACAACAGTGCAAATTTCCTCCCAGCCCCACGTGGCAAGCAGCACAACCCAGAAGTATAGGAAATATCCACAGTAGAACATAGATATAGCTATGCCTAGATCATCCCCAACAGTGGCTATCCAACCTCTTCTTGAACACCTCTGGTGATGAAGAATCCGTGACTTCCCTAGGCAGTCTATTCCACTGCCTCACTATTCTAAGTGAAGAAGTTTTTTCCTGATATCTGATCTAAATCTACTATATTGCAACTTCAAGCTATTGGTCCATGTCCTACTCTCTGCAGCAAGAGAAAAATGATATTCTCTGTCATCTTTATGGCAGCTCTTCAAGTATTTGAAGACTGCTATCATGTCCTCCCTTAAGCACCTTTTCTGCAAGCTTATTCTTGTGTCCTGCAGACATCTCTCTATAAGGAACTGCACTAACACCATCTACTCATTTCATAAAAGCCTTTGAACAGCCATCAGGCACGCCAGTTATTTAAGTCAAGTCAGACTTGAGCAGATGACCTAGACATACAAGACTGGCATAAACCATTAATGCTAATGGTATATCTTGCTAGTACTACCAGCATCTGTTAGCAACACTGTTATTATCCTTCACTAATGCTACCAACATCCATTAACATGACCACCTCCACGCATTGCTTGTACCACAGTATCTGTGACTAATACTATCTGTATCCATTAGCCAGGTCACCAGCATCCATCTCTAATACTTGCCCGCACTTGCAAGGAGGCAATCAGAAGGGCCAAAGCAGAAATGGAACTTAGGCTGGCAAGAAAAATTAAAGACAACAAAAAGTCCTTCTTGAGGTATATAGTGAGTAAAAAGAAGGCATAGGGTAGCATAGGACCCCTACAGAATAAACTAGGGCAATTAGTGACAGATAGGGGGGACAAGGCTGAGCTCTTCAGTGAGTTTTTTGCCTCTGTATTCTTGACTACAGATCAGGACAAATCTCCCAATTGGACCATAGACCGGCACAAGAGGAAAACCAGCCCACCAACTGTTAGTGCTGACTTAGTGAAGGGACACTTGGAGGGGCTGGATGTGTTTAAGTCAGTAGGCCCGGATGATCTTCATCCAAGGGTGCTGAAGGAATTGCCAGTGTCATAGCAGAGCCACTGGCATGGCTGTTTGAGCACTCTTGGTGCCCAGGTCAGGTCCCAGAGGACTGGAAAAGGGCCAATGTTGCCCAATTTTCAAGAAGGGGAGGAAGGAAGATCTGGGTAAATATAGACTGATTAGTCTCATCTTTATACTCGGGAAAACCTTTGAAAAAATTATTAAGGATCACATTTGTGGGAGTCCAGTGGGAAAAACAATGCTGAAGGGCAACCAGCACAGATTCATAGCAGGCAGATCCTGCCTAACAAACGTTGTTTCTTTTTATGATCAGGTCACAAAATGTTGAGATGCAGGAATCAAGGTAGATGTCATCTACCTGGATTTTAAGAAAGTCTTCAATACGGTATGTCATCCTATTCTCACAGATAAATTAAGTGGCTGTGACGTAGATGATTACACGGTCAGGTGGGTGGCAAATTGGCTTAGGACTCGCACCCAGAGAGTGGTGGTGGATGGGTTGGTATCAACCTGAAACAATGTGGGCAGTGGAGTCCCCCAGGGCTTGGTCCTTGGACCTGTGTTGTTCAATGTCTTCACCAGTGACTTGGATGAGGGCGAGGAAAGCACTCTGTCCAAATTCGCAGATGATAGCAAATTATAGGGCAAAGTTAACACACTAGAGGGTAGGGAACAAATCCAGGCAGATCTGGACAGGTTGGAAAAGTGGTTGGAACAGAATAGGATGCAGGTCAACAAGGACAAGTGCAAAGTGCTGCACCTAGGGAGAAGGAATCACTGGCACACTTACAGGCTAGGGGAGGACCTTCTCAGCAGCACAGCAGTGGAAAAGGATCTCGGAGTCACTGTTGACACCAAGATGAACATGAGTCGTCAATGTGATGAAGTGATCAGTAAAGCTAACCGCACTTTATCATGTATTAGCAGGTGCATGACAAACAGGTCCAGGGAAGTGATACTTCCCCTCTATGTGGCATTGGTCAGGTCTCAGTTGGAGTGCTGTATCCAGTTTTGGGTGCCATACTTCAAGAGGGATGTGGGCAACCTTGAGAGGGTTCAGAGGAGGACCACTTGTATGGCTCAGGGCCTCCAGGCAAAGTCCTACAAGGAAAGACTGAGGGCCCTGGATCTTTTCAGCCTCTGCAAGAGATGGCTGAGAGACGATTTTGCGGCTGCCTACAAATCCATTGGGGGGAAGGGAGGAGCAGCAAGGAATAGGAGATGCTCTGTGTACCAGGGCACCCCTTGGAGTAACTAGGAACAATGGCCACAAACTGATGGAGAGCAGATTTAGGTTAGACATCAGGAAGAACTTCTTTATGGTAAGGGTTGCTAGAATCTGGAATGGGTTTCCAAGGGAGGTGGTGCTCTCCCTCACCTTGGGGATCTTTAAGAGGAGTCTAGACATGCACCTGGCTTGGGTTGTCTGACCCCAGTGCTCTTTCTTGCCCAGGGTAGGGGATCAGACTCTGTGATCTGCTGAGGTCCCTTTGGACCCAAGCATCTATGGATCTATAATGCTACCAGCATCCATCACAAACACTATTATCATCTCTGGCTAATGCTACCAGCATCTATTAGTAACATTGTTGGTATCCTCCACTAATGCCAGCAGCATCCATTATCAATGCTACAAACATCCATCACTAATGCTACTGGCATCCTTCATCAA